TGGTGATAAAAGCTATGAGAGCGATTATAGCAGCAAGGAAAAGAATGAAAACCCTGTTAAAACGAATGAAAACGCTGTTAGGCTAACCGGATGAACTAACCGCATTTACATACCCGAGTTAAAAAACACTATCACAATGGCGTTCTATCATAACATAAAAACTACACGAAGCACCAATTTCCCGACATCCTCCATTACCCTTTGACACGTCCAAATTACCCAAAATGGGTAATTTCACCCCTATGAGAACCAGTGCTCTAGAGCAACACTACTCAAAATACTGACTTATAAGATAAATCATGTGTCAGAACTGACCATCATTATGATCCTAATGATTTATTATCTACGAGAAATTCAACACGCGATGACATGTGATACTGATATCCTCGGTAATCGCATCTATCAGGCTGATATATGTAATGAATTATTGCAGTTAGTTGAAAGTTATGGCTGGTAATATGAGAGAAACTGAGTAACATGAGTGCTGAAGCAAGATTGTTTTAAAGTACGATGACAAATGATCATATCCAGCATCAAACACTTCAGAACATTATCAACGAGTATATCTTCCAGATGGATCAGCCGAAGACATTTATTAGGACACTATGTTGTCATCAAGCAATTTCTGTCCCAAAAGGAATTTAAGTGAGAAGTATCACTCGGTATTAATACCGAGAATTACTTCAGTTAATCATCACTGATGACAGATGGCCACTGGTGGTTATTCCATAATATTGCTTGAAGCAGTGGTCGTCAGTGAACATTTTGCTAGAGTGTATTTGTATGAAAGCAACAACGATCTGTTGTATGCTTCTACTTCTTATGAGAATTCAAGTCAGCCGTACCTTCATAATTAGCCAGAGTTTTCAATGTTTTCTATTTGTTCTATTTGGACATATCGAATGATAATGATAATCGAATGACATGTTATATCGAATGATAATTCCTTATCAACAATTATGAATACGTATGTACACTAGTGATAAGGAACATTTAATTGATAAAAAATATCTCGATAGTTTGAAGCATTCGATCTGCAGCAGAGCAGCGATGCGATATTATAGCTATCCCTATTCTGGACCAGTCATCTGCAAGATAGCTCAGAGAGCTCAATTCACCTGTTGCCACAAAGTTGTGAGATGATATCCTAGAACACTGTGATATCAACTGATCTGCCTGCTCAGGAAACTATGTACATGTGCAACTCGAGCCGATACCCTTCGTTGAAGGATTTAAAATTTATCCGTTTACATAAGCTCCACCATATTGTGAACATATGATACTACCGCCAACTGGATAAATTTCATTCACCCTAAATCAATATCACGATATTGACGGCAACTATATTTAGTTGTTCACCTGCTCAGATCGTCTAAACGTTAAACCTTGGTCAAAATAATATTATAGAATCGCGTACACGTCTCTGCTGTCAAGCAAAGTCACTCTTTCGAAAATCACTCATTTAAGTGCGCATAGTCGCTTTTAATGCAGTAACTTAGTAACTTTTCAGGACAACGCGATTGTTACCCAAAATATTCTGCTTCCTTGTTTGGTTGTTCTTGAGAATCTCAGTTTTTTAGCCTCAGTGTTAATGGTTTTTCGAAGTCAATAAATCTTGATTTGCACCCACAAAGATAATTTCCTCTCGATAAGTATTAATCAAGTTTAATGTCAATATAATCATCTGTTTGATTGAGCGTGAATATTCGTTATGTTCATCAGATATCGATGGTCGTTTCCTTTCCTTTTATTTCTTCGTCAAATCGCCGAATATGTCGTCGCCATTCAGTATATCAAATCCATCAGATCAACTGCTCGCCTTGCCAAAATCCTCTCTGTTCTCCAGTGTCCATCAGCAATCCCTTCCCTTTTATCCTTATCAGTCTCCTCATAATCTTATAAATGCAGCGTATCCAACTGTTGATTGACCTGTCAAGAGATAAATGAATATCTACGGAAGCGTATCGCTGATGTATCGAATTTTAGGACATTAAACGATTGCGCTAACATCAAAGGGAAGATGGTCGATATTAACATTAAATGAGATGATAAAGTGACATGAAATCAACAGTCGAACTAACCATTCAGATGAAACGCTGATGGTTACGCTGTTGTTTGATGACAGTGATATGCTCGGTGATCATATCACAGCATAAGCATTATGCATAAATATCAAAACATCTTTCTGAGATGTCTTCATCTTCGACGAATTTGTCTCGATTCTTCAATGGGGATTTTCTTAAATATCATTNCTACTTAAATTAATCATGAAGTCTTATAGATCATAAGTTTTCAACGATGCTTTATGCATCAAAAGCTCATAGAGTTCATAAAAACAATTCTCAGTAAACGAATTCTCATCTCATTCGTGTACTCAATCCATCTATACTTATACTGGAATGATGAATTTTTTGTTGCAACCTTCACACATTGCAGAAACCTTTCAGTAGTCATTTCAAAACTTTGAAAACTTCGTGTCACATCTATAATGTTTAATGCATTCCAATTACGTTGTCAGATGATAACTGAAATACAAACTTCACTGCGGCCAGACTCAATTTCGTTGTGCTCTATCGCGAGTAAAATAATTTTCACTCGTCATTGGAATTTCTGCAGATTCAAAAATTTTTCAACATGAATTTCTCATGCGAACTGCATGTAATAAACTAGCGCTGATCTTCTAGGATTCGATGACTGCCTGCTGAAAACAAATGAACAAAATAATTGATTTGAGAACATTACTGAGAAAACTTTATTACAGCGAATACCGCTGATGATGCACTTACATGTATCCCATATATTACGGAATTGAAAATTCTTGGAAACAATTAAACATATTGCTATCGTTATTTGCTATTGGCACACTGAATTTATGCATAATTCGATGGGACCTTTTGCATAAAATCATACTGATCGTGAGCCAGTTAAATGACATTGCTGTTGCTGTGTGTATGTGTGCAAATGAAACAATTTGCATAATCCTCGTTCAATATGCTGCGTTCGTTGATGCTATGATACACGCAGATAGATAGATAGATAATATTATGAAAGAGGTGCATGCATACTCTTCATATCACGTGCGATTGTACGCAAATGAACGATATCCGGATGCATTCGTCCTTTGGAAGCGATCAATTTGAATTTTTTGAAACGTTATTTTGGAATTGATGAAGACGACGGACCCATAAGAAAAACGAATGTCTTGATTAATGAGTCCTCTATGAAATCGAACGTAACGAAATCGTTAGAGTATTATTTCAGTGTAACCAACATTCATCTGCGTTAGTTCTAATCGTTATTGCTTTGTTCATATCGCTTTGGATTAATCCCGTCCCCCAATTATTCCGGATTGTTNAATATGAATTTACATTAGCATTCAGTGCACATTAATGACATAAAATCAGTACGAATGTTGAAAACGAGTACATATCTATCTATGCATCCGTTGCACGGAATGAATTTTTTGAGAAGCGAAGTGAAATGTTTGCATAGCGATTGGGATCAAATAAGTTGTCTGGAAGATGCGTTTTTACTTTAAATACATCTGTTCTCGATCTCATCTCTTGTTGCTTACAATCATAAAAAGTTCTGCTTCACGTCAGTTATTAACTTGTTTCTTATCTCTGTCACTAGTTTTTTTCGTGAGTGTCGACAGATTCCTGCTGCCCGTAAGTATATTTGCTACATTTTAATGTCAGCTTTCAAAATCGTTTTCAACGGATATTGGATGAAATCAAAAGAAATCCATCGTGCTAAATAACACCTGTTCTTCGAGAGTACATATTTGCTCTACTGAAATCATCATTCGATCTCAACAACAATACCGCTAATGTTAGCATAGAAACCTTATCTTTAAAAGCCGCTTTTTTTGTTCGAGTTACCTACAAGAAAATTTATGGTTACATATTGATGTAATCAATCAAACATGTCAATTGAATGTTTTTTGATTGCTACTTTATTTCGTTGATGAATGCCAGAATAATATTTCGTTAAGTGCAGGAAGGAAGGAAGTTTTATGCGAACGCTTTTTGAGAACAACTGCCTTGACTAGTCGTCTTGAAGAAGTTTTACATTTTTATTGACCTGATATAAGATGCCACTGGCGGTATATTTGTTGTGAAAGTGTACATTTTTACGATGCATTGTCGGATTATTCTCTGATACAACATGATGCTTACATCAGTCTAATGCAAGTGCACAATGCTATTAGATGTTTGGCTAATTTCGGTTGTGTTCGACTGGTCAACGAGAGGTAAACGTTAGTTTTGGTCTCTATCTGAATGAATTTCACACAATCTTACCACATTATCACGCATAATTTGAAACAATCATTGATAACTATTCCATAAATATTCACGAGATATAGTAGAACGATCGTAGTGTTTATGTGCTGCTTATAATTTTCTTAGTAATATTGATAGTTTCAAACAACGACAGTTTTANGCCTATATGCTGGCTATGATATGTCATCTTCTTATTTATTTATTCAGAGATGCTCATAAAAACGTGTTTTGCAGAAGATGAATTTGCATGTGCAATTATATAATATAATTCATAACTGATGACAATTTCGAGTAAAGCGATTAAATGAAGCATTGTGAGCACTTATGTTCAACGATGTTCACAAACAACTAAACGCTTAAGTTAAAAGTATGAAAAATACATCGAGTTATATTGAATGAGTTATCTATTGTTCGTAACGTTTGATTATCAATGTTCGTTATCGCTTTCATTGTTATGAGCGTATTTGTCATTATGAAAAATGATTATTCACTGAATTAAACTTTGATGATGAGCGATGGATGTTTCGTTTGTTGAAGAAGAAGTTTTCAAGAAACGATGACGCACAAAATGTTGAAGAAGTGGATATTTGTGTGGCTTGCCGAAGCTTGGTTCGTTAATCGCGTGACATATTCTCGTTGTTATTATCAGGCATTCATCAAATCGTTTGCTAATTATTCTTTTAATATCACTTCTAATGAGTATTCCTCCATCAACTGCGCTTATAACTCAAATCGTCAATTTTAGCCAAAATAACACAGAGCTTTCCATCCTTATGCATAATGTCCATACACTCAGTTTGCTTATCGAGTGTCACGAAGGCGCATTTCCGATTATGACACTACATCTTTAGCTATCCGCTTTGAGATGGTTCCATTGGATTCATTTGTTTNAAGCTGTCGATCGCATTGAAATATCCTAAACAGAACTTATCCATCTGAGCGATGAAAGGATTTGCAGGAAATCTTCTCAAGGAGATGATTGTGATCGTATAAGAAGAGTGCTGACCTCGTAACAATCGATCATTTATCAGTGATGTTCTGAAGTTGATCTGAATTTGTTTCAAGACATGCGAAATGATGAATGATTTTGATATCTCAAAACATCTTTTGAGTTATTGTTGTTAATTATGTATAAATCAAAACCGGTGATCACACAGATGCGCATTGATACGTGCAAATACACTTACACGTTTGTATATCTGTTATAGTCGTCTATCTTATATCAATGTCAATCACTTAAGATTTTAGCATATTCTTGCAATGATGATGGTTGGTAGCAATGGAGTATTCATTCCTTCCAAGTGGCTGTCGGTCACGCCTCTTATTCACTGACAACAGCAACAATAACGAAAACTCCAGCAACGAACGAACACAGTTCATCACCATCAGATGAATGCAGCAGCAGATTTATTCGCGAGATTTGCGCTCTTTCTGAATGAGTGAATACTGACGATTTGTGCATGATGACTCATGTCATCTAAATGATTCCTTGAANACTGAGTTTTTATGCGTGACTCTTTTCGGGGTTTGATCTCTCTTCTTTCTGATCTCCATCGCTTGTATTGTACGGAACAAAGGTTTGGTCTCGTTTCAATTGGCTGGTGGAATGTTGTGGTGCAGAAAACGGTTAAGACATCTGCCGCCTGCATTGCTATAAATGACATGTTTGCTAATGCGATGAAAGAATGATTAATTCCAGAAAATCAACACAATTTTGAAGCATGATGATTACCGGCGTGTTGAAATGATGATTGTTGATGCAACGCTTGATGAAATCCCATTCGAGTACCGTCATTGCCATCAGAAAGCCTATGTCACAGATTGGGTTTTTTTTAGATTTGAGAATCAAATGTATACGTTACAGTGATCTGTGATTGATCTGCTTATATGCTATCTATTTTGAACATTACCTAAGAGATTTTTTGGCGAACGAAGTGTATAGATTCATATCTTCTTGAACAATACCACTGAATGATGCTCGTAATCGTGCTAATGAGAATTTGATGGCGTGTATTCAACTGGGTTGTCAATCTGTGCAATGTAACAAATTCTGCATTAATAATTTCAGGCTATCAGCATCGCTGTCAAACATTTACCAAGGGTAACGAATCAAGTGCTCATGTCTACGAAATGGAATGCTTTCGTAATATTCATTTCTGTTCTACTGACACACTCAGTTCATTCACAATCACCAATTTCCCCCAGCAAACAGCCAAAAACTCCGTTCTGGTTAACGGCTGATGTTCGTTCAGTGGAATGGCACCAGCTATGTCTCACCGCGGCCGGTTGCTCAGACCCACGAATCAAGCTGGTCGAGTGGAATCTGGCCACAAACGAGAAACTCTCATCGAGTTGGACCATCTCTGAGACCAATGTGATTATATTTCCAATTTTGCTGCTGCTGCTTTCAATGATCACCTAAATGAGAGTTGACATTTTGGCTGATTCAATCATTCAGCCGAACTCAAATCTATCGCCGCATTCCTTGTTCCGGTTGCTGCGGAACACATCTCGGTAATTTAAGACACTTGAGAGGAGCCATGCGTCACCTCCGATAGTTTATGATGCCTATTAAGGATATTCATTCCAAATTCTTGCTAAGCACAATCGTTTAAAGGAGGCAAAGTAAGGCGCCATCTAAATTTTAGTCATTGCCAGTCTGTCGGCTTTTTTCTACGACTCCTACGCAATGAAAGTTAAGCGATGAAACTGACTTCGAATCCAGAACGATCCCTCACGGCCAGTGTCAAACCTATCAACAAGGTCATTAATCAAGTGGTCTATGATTGAGAACTACCATCGAATTGAAGATTGCCAAACAAAATTCATTTCATTTCGTTTCGTTTCTACGAGCAATTGTTAGTGCTGGAGACAATAAGGTCATAAAACAGTGCATATTGCCTACAGCTGTCAGGATGATTTCCATGCGAGGCATTCATTTATCATGTGCACAAAGCACTAAAATTGAGTGAATGAAAGCAAGAATTGTTGTGTTTTATTTGTTGATACCCGTCGTCATTGTTGTTGTTTAGGCTGCAGAATTTGTTTAGTGCTTGATAATTTGCTGTTATTATATTGCAGTACAATGATTGCGGTAGTAGCAGATCGCCCGCTCTAATCCAAGCTTGATTTTCTTGTCACACGAACAAACAAACGCACACTCAACCAAATCATTAGCCAGTCGTCATTGCGAATGAATCGAATAACGAAATCCTAATCTGTAACAAATTCCACAGTAATGAAACACACAAAGTAAAACGAACCAGAGCAATTTTCTCGTCAAACAAATTCTCTCTATTGAATTGCTTGATTTCGATTCCAATTTTGTGTTTTCCTCATCGAATTTATTAGATTTATGCGTGCTGTCTCCAACTCATCATCATCCTCATTATCCATTCTGTACGTTGTTAAGCACACAGAGCGCTGTCACAATGTCCACAAGTAGAAATTTTCCAAACCTCCGTTGTCTTCTAAATAGCTTATCGAAAAAAAGAAAACGAAGCATCTTTGCAGATAGTTTTTCGTAAGAATTTCCAGCAATTTTTATGTACAACGCACTCACTTTCGTGTATTTTCTCTCATACTCATCTTAATGGATTGTTGTTGCGATGGATGTATACTTCGGTGTGAAGCATCTTGAAAATAGAGTCAACTTCTTGGAAGCTTAAATTATTACGGACATTATACACAGGTGTTCTTCAAGTTAAGGAATTAAACGCCNACGAGTGAAATCTGAGTAAGCGATCGTGTTAGAATTAAGCAAAAAATGTCAGATAGATTGATATTTTTGCAGAAATTTATTGCTGGCGCTCAATTACATAGGCATATCAAGTTTGCAGCCTCAATTATTGTTTCATCACGAAGTCATTGCAAATTGTTTGCGTTCGGTGAAGAAAAATTGATTATAGCATCAACAACGATCGTTCGTAAGTCATTGGAGTTACGGGCAACCGAGTGAGGTGACGTTTGGTTGTGAGATTTCCGGCGTTGACCCGATGTATGGATTTCCGCGAACATGCGATTCCACTCCAACACTCCGTATATTCCATCATGAAGTATGTGTATAGTTACAAAATCATTGAGTAAACTTTAGGCTGCTCTCATTTTGAGCAATAACTTGTATAGCAGAATTAATTATGGCGCTTAGAGTGAGAGATACTTCAAATCATGTCGATGAGAATTTGATGGCTTAGAATGGGATTGCAATAATTAAATCCATTTCATTAGCAACTTATCCATGCATCACGATTCATTAAGTTTGTTAGAATAGAAATGTTTGTTATTAAATGATTGAAAGATACTTCATAGCATTCATTCATGTATCTTTTCTGATCGTTTTTTTTTNGTGAAAAGTTCAATGCGATAAAGACTTCCTTAAGTCACGTGCACAATTGCATCGATAAGTTCAAAACGTTTAACTTTTATTCGTTGAGCGGACTGATTGAATGGAAATTGATGGATCGAGTAATTTCCTCAATCAGCGATTAATTTTTCAAGATAATCAAAGATCAAACGTCACTGAAAACAACCGCCGAAGTGCAAGACGAAGGTAAGATGATTGTGGAACTAAGAGGGAAATGTTTCAACGCATCGTTGGCCATTCAAAAACATCAACAACAATGCCCTTGGTGTACCGCTGCCACTGAATTGCCTTTGATGGACCCTAAGGTGAACAAAAAAAGTTTTATTGCTTTTGCTCGATGAGAATTCTTTGCCATTTTCTCGTTGACTTATCGCCATTAGCATTAATTGCTGACCAGATGTTGAACATTTTACCGCTCTAATCGCACAAAATTGCGAGTGAATCATCAACATTTCATTTGGAGTACTTAAGTGACATTTTCATGAGGATGACTCAATTGCTCTCCCTTAACTCGCAAAAAAACTAACTGACACATTCAGAAAACTGCTTTTCGAGTGATTATGACAAAATTCTGCTGAGTCCAATAGAGATTTGATGGTGAGCGTGCAAAAAAAGATAGTGTTTAAAGCGATTGAACTATTGAATTTGAAATGATTGACTTTGCGTGAGTGAATTTGTTCTAACGCAGATAAAAGAGGTGCACTTTAAGTGCTCTAAGCTTAACTGAAATGAAAGTTGAACCAAAATTCCGCTGCAACAGTTTCATGCGTTTGATTTGCAATTGTATTACCTTGAAGAATTTCTCATTTGCTATTTGCTTGGATAGAGCAATTGAATCTGTATATATCGTTAAAAGATGAATGCTGCTTGTCGGAAATTCAAATAGGCAAACAACACTCCAAGTTGGATGGTTCATATCATGTCGGCATTGATTATTCGGTTTCAATTACATTAAGTTCGCGTGAATGCGCAATCAAAACCATTCGAATGTGAGATGTATTGATGCGTTTATTAAATTGCTGAAGGGGCAAGTTGAATACTTCGATTAGTATTCGATTCATTGCTGCAGATAAATAGTATCCATCAGATATGTTTATCAAAAATGCGATGAATTCTTCTAAAGCGCCAATATATCTAATGATTTCATGGGGAAGCGCATTCATTACGCCTAAACGATAACGAATTATCAATGAAAACGTCATGAATTCGATTAGTTATCCGGGAACGTGATACATCAGATGATTAATTTTGCTCTTCTGATCACAAATCTTTTCGAATATTCGTAGTTTCATTCGTTGATACATTCAGTTACAGTTGAAGAATGCTGAGGAAATTCAAATCATAAGCAGTGACTGAATATGCTCAGATATGGGTTGAATGGAATTGACGGATCAAGAATTGACTATTTCAGGCGGCTGAAGCAAGTAATTTGAACGGAACATTAGCGAGTTGGTGGTGGCTATCAGACGATGAGCTGTTGGGTGCTGGTGTTTTGGTGCTTTCGCTGATCGCAATTATCAGTTCAGCTTCGTTTGCATGTCTTTTGGTTGCCTATCTCAAACGACGTACACCGAACGGACTCAAGAAAGCCGCACATATCTACACGCCGTGCACTGTACCGAACTCACGAGCTCCACAATCACCCAAATATGACACTATTCGAAGGTTTGTGTGCAGCATTCTCTTTGCAATCGTTTAACTCATCCTCGATGAGTGTTCAGTATTTTTTCAAATTCTCTGTGAAAAGATCTTTAGCGGAGATTTCGATTCGTCAACGCAATTGATTCGTTTGATTTGTTCATAATACCTCATCATCCGCAGTTTGAGATGTTACTTTTAGACTATTACTCATAATTAGCATACATAACATCGATCGCATACATTGTCATGCATAAGCACAATGACTGGGCGGAAATTTTGAACAATAATGCTGATGAGTGTTTCGGCTAAAAATTTTGTGCTTTTCTTAGCATTTGGTCGACCAAATTTGCAAATTCCTTTATGGAAAAGAAAATGCACTTATAAGTGTAGGGTTGGGTTTCTCAAACGGATTTGAAAAAAAAAGAATTCCATTATGTTCATCAGTCTAAATCCGCTAATGCACACTCAAACAGATGTTCCAAATCCTTAATGGCAGCAGTTTCAAATTTCTTGTTGGGTTCACNCACAAATTGGTGTCATATAAACAATTAGTTTCAAGTTTCAAACTTCGAATCAGTCGAATGTCACATTCTGCTGACAAGTCAAAAGTTTGATAATGAGGATGTCAGTATAAGATATTGATCAGAAATGTTCCGAGAAATGAATTTATGTGCACGGATTGTCTCTGTTTAACATTCATCACTTTCAATCATCCATCAATCATCTTACTTCTTTGCAAAATTGATTCTTCATTATTATTCAGCAAATTCCTCACAGTCAGCACCATTTCGTAGTAATTCCGAAGATGCGCTTATGAATGTCGCAGAATGAGCAATAATCAATCGCTTTTTTGCCTTAAGCTCTTACCGTTACGTCTGCAAAAGTTTAATAAATATTTCCAAGCACTCGATGAACGTCCTCTTCGTTCAGTTTATTGGAATCTTCACTGCGGAATATTAATAAAAAAGAGTAAATGCTAGTCCTCAAATCATAAACACATCCAAGTGCATTCGGTAATGCTCATAAACAACTCGTTTGAAATTTTGTTCGAGTCGAGGGAACTAATGAAACTGAAACGTCACAAGGTTTTCTTCAGCTGATGCAAAATAATTCGCTCAAAGATTTCGATGTCGATAGTTCATGATCATTTTGTTTCAATTTCTATGCGGCGTTTCTTAGCAATTTTTGGAAATTCCACTCACATCAGTAAGAATTCACAAATGAGTTATTTTCATAAGTCTTTCAGGTATGATCTACTGTGGGAACAACGTGATCTGGCGTCGCCATACTGGATGAATTCGAATAGTTTTGGTACATTGTCGCCTGTTTCACCGTCCTACAATCCCCCGCCTCCACCCTCTTCAGTCATTGTGGGTCGTTCGAATACCTCAATTATGCGACCTCTCCCACCACCTCGGATTCCGATTCCACCAAATACATTGCTAACTAACAACCGATACGATGATAGCGGTCATGAATCGTTTTGAAATGACGCGACCACAATATTCTGAACTGTTTGTGCATTGGATCAGACACTACATATTCACGCTCCTTGAGGCCAACACCAGCCACGGAAAAGCAATCGATGTTACCGACTTTTTAACATGTTATG